AACCCCTAAATGCATTGAAGTGGATGTGATTGGTTGATTAGATAATTGCATTAATGAGAAATTGAACAGGTGTTCCTAATAATCCTTTAGGTGAGTGTATATAAATAAGAGAACATACTCTGCAAAATGCCCTATTTATATAAAGCAGTTTTATTTCCTTCACAAATGTAGGTAAAACTACAAAGCACATTCAGTATACTAGCAACTGTGCGTAAAACTACATCAATGTTTCAGTCAGCAAACCATGGTATTAACCTGCAACATTTACATTTTGCACAATGTTTTGAAATAGTCAGGGAAGTAATCTAATTTTTAACTGAGGCAATTAAGTAATACATATCAGAATTTATATGGGTCTATTCAGTGTACACAAACACCGCAATGCCAGGCCTCACTAGCTGACTAAAGGTGACTGAAAGTAACAGTTTTTATTGCGCACATCAGCGGTTTTGTCACATAACTGGAATATTTTTGTGTGCACTTGTTTGTATGTTAAAACACTTTTCCTTTTGGAATCAGAAATTTAGATTTTTTTTTCTTGTCAATCAAAACCCATCTTATCTAAAAACTTCTTAAAGTACTTAGCACTTCAGGAAATACTAATGTCCAGGCAGAAATAGAGAGTCACAAGAACAGAGATCAGCATGAAATATAATAAAAGCACAGGCAGAGTATTTTAACGGCACTGATTCTGAGGCCACTTCCAGTATTTATTGACAACCCTTCTGCATCATCATACAGATAGGGAGTATTTTCATACAATTCTCAGTTTAAGTCTATAAATAATATAGACACCGACATTGGTCTAAACTACTCATTATTTATTACATTTATTATTTATTACACAGTCGACTTGTCAACATTTATGTTTTATTTATTCTACTAATTACATATTATAGTGAATCAGGACTGCACCTAACTTAGTCTGACTTCTGATATATTTCGAAAGAGAGAGAAAAAAAAAAACATTCATGTATTGATGTAGTCATACAGTACTTAAGGCCAAGACGAGATCCATTTCGAGGAGATATTGGTCTTCTGAAAGAGTGGTTTCTGCTTCTTTCTTTATTCCTTACACCACAGACAATGGCAGAATCTTTCAGACGTTATATGGTAGCAAGATACTCATCTATTAAAATATCTGACCTTCCAAATGCTACTTGAACAGAAACACAGCAATTTTAAATAACATATACTTTGCACTTTTTGTATATATTTGAAATGTATTCAGACCAACTGACAAAGGCAACACAGGTGAGTTTTCATGGCAAAATTACAGTGTAAAGTATATTAAAGCAAGAAAGACAACAAGTTGTCCATAACGATGGTTCCCTGGGAAAAAGGAGACATGCTCTACATGTCAAAGGGCTCGACAGGCTGTCCAGATCTTTGGATAAGTGTAGGACATGTGTGTAGTGAAACATGAACGCTGATAGCTGGAAAAGCTAAGCAGTCATGGTGCATAAACAGTAACGGAATAGAAACCATTAAAATTGACGCACAAAATTACGCTTCTCATGGCTTGACCACCCTCTTACAGTGCACCCCAATGACAAAAAAAGAGGTATGGGGGACAGATTTCTGAAGCACCCAAGTCTTTTCCGTTTGTGCGATTAAGAGGGATTTAATAGTTCAAGAAGCGCTCCCACAGCTCCGAAATAACCCTGTAAAAAGTAAAAAAAAAAAGTATACATTCATTATGTGGTGCCCATAACAAACAACTACTTCATAGGGGGGAAAAAAAAAAACTTAACAATGGGAACAGTGTGCATCAACCACATCAACAAAATGGCTGATTCTTTAGCAACGTATATGAAAAGTTCATAAGCTAGCGGCCATTAACATTCATAAGCCATTACAAGATGTTAAGGGAGGCTTGAGGTTAAAATGACTCATACCTCATGCTGAAGAAACAGTGCTTTCAATCGTCCAGCAGACCAGTACTCCATAGAGTAGGCCAGCAGCTTCATGGAGAGAGTATTGACCCTCAGGAAGTTCCCCACAAACACCACCCTTTCTATGTTCTTCAAAGGATAAAGAAAGCAGCTAGCAGGCAATCTTAAACAAATTCCCCATTTTAAAACTAAAATATTACTTGCAGTAATTACCTCCTGACTGGTGAGGATTTTATAAACGCAAACTGAAACAAAGATTTTGGCCTCGTGCCATAGACTTCCAATAGGAGCAGAATTAACAATCATGCAATAAGTTTGAAAGTAATGAATTTTCTGGATAAAGGGTGTCAGTAAATTCCAAGTACAGGTTTCCCGCTACGATCCGAAAGTAAAGCTTTCATAAACCAAAATGGCATAATGTGAAGAAGCAATTACCATTAAATTTACGCATATGGGAAGAAGTTTTCAGCATTTCCAGACCCAAAAAACAACAAATCATACCAAGTAACGGTAACATATAGCAAAAGCAGGAATGATATGATAAATATAAAGTGCAAAAAATGACGTAGTGTAGTTTTAGTGACCAGAATCAATACAGTAATGCGTCGCTTATCAACAGGGATGCGTTCGCAGTAATGTGTAATTAGGTGATTTTGTTGATTGGAGAACATCTTAGTGTGCTTACAGAAACATAAATTGTATAGCCTACTACACACACCTAAGCTATATGGGTTAGCCTAAATAACGATAAAAATACATTATAGTAAATACATAAACCAGTAAAATAACTGTTTATCAAGTATTACATACTGTAGATATCAGTATGTGCCACACTTTTATTGGCAGCGCAGAAGGTTTGTTTACAGTAGCATGACCACAAACAAGGGAGTAATGCATTGTGCTATGAAGTTACAACAGCTACATTGTAACTAGGCAACAGGAATTTTTCAGCTCCATTATAATCTTATGGGACCACAGTCGTATATGTGATCCATTGCTGACCGAAGCACCTTTATGCAATGCTTGACTGTATTTCACTAATTGGTCAGCTGATAGACAAAATCCTAAAAGCCATTTTTGCTTTTCTCCTTTTTTCGTAAAAATGAAAACCCTCTTTGAATTTCTATCTGTTATTGAAAACGGGGGCTGACGGAGGGCTTCTGTAAAAGCAAAGTAGTGTAAAGCAAATGTTTGTAAAGAGGGGGATACCTGTATGTGAATGTTTTGTCTACATTTATAATCAACAGTAGGATAACACTGGTTTGATGGGACAAAGGGCAAACGGGGACACATGTATGACACTTTGTCTTCATGCCTCTGTGGTCTACTTAAGTTCAGTTCTTCAGCTTTCAAAAATACTTATGTTGTATCATATATAATTAGATCACATTTTTAAAGTGAGGAAGTAAAATTTCCCTATGTTCCAGTTTAACAATATCCACCCTGAGAATATCTACACATACCCAAGGCTAGTCATAGATATTGATTAAAAACATACAGCGGAACTGGTTTTGATCATATGCAGTTCCATAAATGCTGTCAGAGCAGGGAAGCTCTCTATGCTTTCATAGCCCTGTACAATGCTGCTTGATAAAAAGTTCACAAGGCAGCACTGTAAAGAGGCTAAAAGCATAAAGCCATGAGGATTCTGTCATTTCTTAAATAAAAAAACAAAAAGTTTTAATTTAACCTTTAACACTGGTTGCTGTGTTGGATAATTCAAAGGTGCAAAATCAATTAAGCGGCATCTGAGAATAATGCATAATTATTGTTAATGGAAAGGCAACGCAGCAGCTGATTGACTGTTGGGAGTGTCTGTGTTCTGATGGCAGAATTGCTTGTCAGGATCATGTGTTTTACAGTTATTTCATTAAACATCAGAGCAATGAAGACAGAAGAAATCATCAATCGGGCAGAAAGCAGATCCCCAGGAGACTAACTGCGGTCTCGATTAAGCAGATAGTCCCTGATGTTGTTCTGTAGCCCTCTCTCTATAAGGAACACAGTTGTGTTGTAGCTATGAATGGGAACATGTCTATTTTGTGGACAGTTCTGTGCATTCCAGTAAAATTGACTCCCAGAGGATCATGCTGGGCAGGCAGTTATGCCCCAGCTGTTGCCGAACAGCGCAAAGGAAAAATGTTTTCCTACTACTGGAATATGCATTTTATATCATGGGAGACACTGCAGAGTAACTGCATTCTGATGCTTGGTAGACACAATAAGAACACTGTAAGAAACTTAATGCCTTAAAAGAATAGAGACTGATTAGTAGGGATAAATGAGATACAAATTTCTTTAGTAATGCGGTTCATCCCACTCTGTATCACGTATGTGAATCATATGTGAACAGACCACACAGGCACGGTGTGTGTAAGCTGTGACAAAGGCGTACTGTACCTCATTCAAGGCACACATCCTGGTTATGGAGCCGATGTTATTTGTAATTGTAACTAATGTTGCTCGGGCCAGGTCTTCTTTGGAGACAGATTCCCGCTTCTCCTTGCACATCATGTTTCCAAAACTGAAACAAAGAAAATGTATTATTCAGGCAACTTAAAGGTAAACTAGGAGAACCAACTGAAAATTGTCTATTTAGATGGATCATATGTAAACATATACAGACACTTCTCTACTTACGAATGAGATACGTTCCGAACGGCTGTTCGTAACTAGAAATGTCCGTAAGTCGTTATTCAACATCATTTTAAAGGGTATACGCAGGTACAAAGAACTAGGATGCTAGGGGTACGCACGCTACGCTGCTGCACAGTGGGAGTAGCAGCCAGAAGTCGTACTAGGCGGAATTGGTGCACAGAATAAAAAAAATTATGTTGCGGACTGGAAACAGGAGCCCAATGAACACAATTTGGACTTACAGTCCTCTTCGTTCTTATGTCTGAAAGTTCGTAAGTAGAGGAGGGTCTGTATATTTTAAAAATATACCTATTTTCCACAAACAAAACCATAAATACCAAAACTCCTAGCTAAAAATGTTTTTCTTCCTTTCAGTCATTGCTATGTTCCTAATTTAGTATGTACCATGTTCCTTTCATCTGGTTATTACTAATAACTTTGTGATACCTATAGGAAAAACAGCAGATTAATAGATACAATTTAACTGGAAGAAAACATCCAGAAATTATACAAAATGTAGGACAGGATTTTTTTCCCAGCCTATCTAGATACAGGTCCCTATAGCAAAGCCTTCAAAAGCAAGTAAAATCTGTTACAAGTCATAGAAAGCAGTCATATTCACATGTCAAACTGATTTTTTACATTTAGCAAGAGAGGTTAGCACTGGAATAGGTGTTGCATATTTCATTATGGGTGATAATGAAATATGTACAGTTACAGTATATCAGTAAGTATGGCACACAAACTGAGGCGTCTCTGATATCTGCAGACACTAAATATACAAAAAGATAACATAAGCAATTGTGTAAAAGTTAAAAGTGCTGGTTAAAAACTATTATACAAAATAAAAACAATACATTAAAACCACAATGTGAGTATTTGCTGGAAAGTATCAAACCCCATTATTCTGTTTTTATTGTAGGCATCAGAATCATACAAAAATTAGCTGTAAATAATATTGAATAATTTGATAAACTAATTAGTAAATATACGCTTGACATTACCTGGAGCTTAGTAAAGCCTGGTAACTCTACTTTTACTCCTGTGCAACTGATAATCTTACTTCAACTCTGGTCTCTTTGTTCAACAGCAAAAACATCTGAATTCTCCTGAAGTGCTCATCTTGCCCTTGGCTGGAAACCTAGGAGTAATAAATTCACTGCCGTATCTCAGCAGTTTCTACTTGCTACTGTTTAAAACCCTCCTTACCAGAGTACTTGTTTTCTGCATGACTTGCATTGTTTGATTGTCACTGACATTAATTTGAAGAATTTTTAATAATGACATTATAAATGGAACTTTTACTTTTAGCTACAGTTATATGAAGGTCATAGCGGCTATCACTAATAATTAAATTAATCAGTAGATTACCCGAATATTAGACAATTAATTGAGTAATCATTAATATAATATATATACCTGGGGTCTCCAACTCTGTTCCTGGAGAACTACTATCCAGTAGGTTTTCTATCCTACCTGGCTTCTGATGAACCACACTAGTTCTCAGGTAAATACCAGGAGCAGGTGTGGCTCATCAGAAGCCAGGTAGGATAGAAAACTTACTGGATAGTAGCTCTCCAGGATCGGAGTTGGTGACCCCTGATATATAGCTATTAGCAGGGCTGGACTGGGACTACTACTCAGGGATTCATCTTGGGAGAGATGGCCACAGTGTCACAATTTGTTGTAACAAAAGATGTTAATTTCACTAGTGTTATTTCTCTGGTTACCTATCAATGATAAATCATTCATTTCAGCAAAGCAAAGTTTTACTAATATAACATAACATGATAATAACTGTAAGCTGTAACAGCTGCAAACTGTAACTCTATTGCAAACTGTAATCCCACATTATTTAAAAATGAAGGCTATAAAGGCAATTTTCTCTCTCTCATACACACAGTTTTTGCACAAAACTGTAATTTTGTACACAAATGACACATAACTCTATAGGCTAATATTATTAAGCATGTTTTTAGTCTGACTGAATAAAATAAGTCTTGTAATAATTTCCTATGTTGAGCATTTGCACACTTTTGGCCCAACATTAACATTTCAGCTACTTTTTACCGGGTTGGACAGTAGCTAATCTGACCTCTTTCCTCAATCTTTCCCTGGGCCACGTCTCTCTCCTCATCCTCCTCCTCCTCCTCCTCCTCCTCTCCCTGAATCGCTAATTCTGCCTCCTCCTCCAGCCCTGCACCAGCCGCTGCAGCAGTAAAACTTGTGGTGGCAAACATATCGGTAAGTTTTGCGCATTTTGCTGCGTCCACTTGAAGGCTTTTCTGCGCCCCCCTTGCGCTTTTTTGGTTTGTCCATAGCCACTCCTCTCCAGCTCTGGTCAGCTCAAATGGCAAAATTTGATAACCTTGGTTAAAAAGGGGAGGCAGGGAGGGGCGGGCCGAGGGAGGCTGAGAGATTTCATTGGATTAGCCCAATGTCCTTCAAGAAAATCAACCAATGGGACGTTGCGGTCGATAAAAATTATGATATACTTTTTTGGGTAAATTATGACAGCCCCGGGCCGGCCCAAAAATGTGCGTCGGCCCACCGGGCATTGCCCGCTACGCCAGATGGCCAGTCCAGCCCTGGCTATTGGCATGAGGCAGGAGCCAACCCTACACGGGTCACCAACACTTCACTGTGTCATCCTCAATACTAGCACAATGTGTTATGTTAAGCACATGCAACAGCCAGATCGGAAGATCTGTGATAGTCAACTGGGGTAAGACAATATGTTCCGCTGAATATTTACGTGTTTAATGTCATAGGGAACAAAGCTTAAGAAGTGCTAAAATAATGTGTAATGTTTACGAACAATTGATTTGACACCCACTATTTGTAGTGTGGATGTAAAATTTAAAGAAGTCCCCTATGAAGTAATAGAGCTGAGGGATGCTAGGATTGCCATCAGTGCCTTAGGCCATGTGAATGTGACTTCGTATGGCAAATATGTGCTACACAAATAGATTCAAGGGCTGCAGATTACAGAACAGCGTATCCTGGTGTGCTAGCATGTCCTTTGGTTACTCTCCCGACTGGAAGGGGAACGCAGCCCCTGGTCTGTTTGTAAAACACATGATCCCGAACAGAACAAATTTAAGATTAATTCTCGCTTTGCTTGATTAGAGAGCAAATGCAGTAGAATATATCTAGACTTAGTGGTAATGAATCATACCTGAATTAGTGCAGGGTAATAACATGTAATGCATATAGTCTTGAAATTGATGACGAAATGCTTTGTATAACATTATATCCTGTAAGCAGATGTTTTACCCTGAATAATTGTCTGCAGGTTATCAGAAATAATGAGAGTGGGATAAGTATTTGCAAAGATAAGGGAGAATAGGGAGTGAATGGCCTTGGAAGACTGCAGGCCAGAGACCAGCTAACAAGAAACTATAAAGAACATCTGGTGATCCTGTGCAGTGACGTGATTCGCGGGAAAAGGTATAAAATGTAAGTTGATTTGAAAGACGGGGCCTCTCTCCTTCACATGCAGGAACCCCTGTTCGAACAGCCTAAATAAACAGGATACTTCTACTGCCCTAAAGTGTCTGCATTCTTTTTGTCCGTCTGTAATACTAGGTTCTAATTAGCCATAGTTTACTTTGGGTAAATTCGCTCCCACACAACTGAGGCATACGCTCTCTTTTAATTTGGACACTCATCCACTATGCTCCCTCTTCCTTCTGCCATATTGCAGAGTAATGCAGAAGGCAAATTTTAATCAATGCAAAGAAAAACAGTGGCAAAGCTATCAGGTACAGCTAGGACACTTGGGCCTCCAGATCCACTTCAAGGGTAGATGAGTTTGGCATTCAGAGAAGCCATTCTGCACACCAATCTCATACCCAGCAGTTTTTTGCATTTGTATATTTCCAGTTAGCTTTAACGAGTCTGACCATTTTCTTTTGAACTCTAATTTACAAGATATGCCATTGATTGATTGACAGGATGCTTTTGTTGCGTTGCATAGGGTTGATATCTACTTTTACCTGGTCCCCGGATACACCAAAACCATCCCCACCCGGTATCCGCATACACCAAATCACCAATACCATCATCCCTGCGTGTACCAAAACCATCTCCACCCTATCCCTAAGTGCATGAAAACTGTCCACACCCTGCCCCTGCATGCACAAAAACCATCAAAAAAAAAAAAAAGCACAAAATATATTCTCAAGTCTGCAGCAGCATGCAGTTATTAAAACGTAATAGCCAGTTAGGCCTACCTACATTTTGCAAATAGTTTTTGTTCTTTTTTGTTTTATCTGAGAATGGCTAATCGATTTAGACCTAAAGCTAAAGGAAGTTCTTTGTGTTTAGGTGTTACAATGAAGCCTTGCATATCACTTATTTTTGCGTTATGCAAGCAAGTCTACTGAAGGAACTACTATGCAATAAAATATATTACACAGTACCAATTGTTTCTAACAAAAATACTGTTGTGGATAAAACTGCAACCCGTCATGATAAGTTATCCTCATCTCACCCACCACTGCCAGTGATGTTGCATGCTACCAATCAAAGAATTCTGAAGACCGGATATAACATGCAGTACTACTCAAAATCCTCTTGTAAACTTGTTTATAGGAATATGCAAATCTACCTTCCAAAATTTCCTCTGCAAGAAATTCTGCTAAACAAAATTCAACATTGTAGAAGCACTTTGTCAAAAAAATTCATATTATATAACAATAAAAAAGCACAACTGCTTTAAAAACAGACCAGTCTATGTAGGTTGTATTTACATGTTCTTCCTGTATTGTGTGGGTCTCTTCCTGCAGTCCATCCTATCTACTGCACACCAGCCTTGAGCTCAGTGGTACCTCAGGTCTCGAACTCATTAGAACTCAAATTTAAGAGTTGAACCAACCAGTTCGG